AAAAAATCACCCGTTATGTATGTAATTAAACTCTCTAAGTCGTGGCCATCACAAAACGCTGTTGGCGCCGGGTTTAATTTTAAATACATACATACGTATGTATGTATGTATGTACATACGTGTTTTAAGTTTATGCAAATACATATCAACTGTCTTAATGCTGCCTGCTTGTTGTGCCAGTTTGTATGTATGTCAAAATAGTTCGCTCATATTGGAAATATATTGTACATACATACATACATACATACCTACATTTATATATATAAATTTTTTCGGTGCATATTTACTTAGTAAAACAGTCGTGTATTCTGCGTTTTCGATTTTAAAACTCATTTAACTTCTTCCTTTGCATAAATTTTATGCGCAAATTTGCAAAGCAATGACTAGGCAAGTTGATTTAGAGACTAAAAATATTTTTGTTTACGTGTTGACTATTATGTATGTATATTGGCTATTAACCTTTCACTAAATTATGTCAATAAAATTAGAAGGCGTTGGAATTTTTAGCGTTCATGACTTTGGGAAACCCCAACAACATAAATTTTCTGTCTCAATGCGTTTTAATATATCTGGGAGGCATTGAATGGCAAATTTTTTGCAATTGCATTTGCACGAGTATGTGATTGCGATAGAAGTCCTTCTAAATAAAATATTCAATTCCATACCTTTGTTGCTTCACTTTAGGCAACACAAATATTAATAGCCAAATTGTTTGATATGTTTCACGGTTTCGATAAGGTATAGACAAAAAATTAAACAAAAAAAAAAACGAATTTTCTTATCGATTCATATCAAAAATGTCGATCTCTCAAAAAGGTTTAAAAATATAATGCTACTGTTTTATTGAGTATTTTTTTTTAGGTAAGATTTAGGAGATTCGCAAGTCATGTTAAGCATCGTAAGGTCTTAAAGTTTAAAATTTTTTCAATGTAAAATAACGTTTAAAAGCGTTTTAAAAGATTTTTAGGGCTTTATAAGAGTCAATAACATATTTCCTATTAGTTTAATAACATTTTAGTGAAGTTATGAATTGCCTAAAAAGGAATTATCCATTAGTTAACATTGAAAAATGTTAAGACTTTAAGACATTAGGACGCTTAACACATCTTTTGCATCCCTAATTGTTTTGTTTTAAAAATCAACCTAATGCTTCGAAAATTAAGTAAAAAAGGAGCAATGTTTTGAATTGTTGATTTTTTAATTTTACATCAAATGACAAAAAATACATATTTCCATGAACCCATTTTAATGCAAAAATTCTTCTTAACTTAAATTTAAGCATTAAATTTAAACATTTCTGCTGTTTGTGTGGAAAAACACATTTTCAATTGAAAGAGTGATTGTAGCAAAAATTGAAATTGGCCGCTTTTATTAAATTTGTCTAAAGTTTGACATTTTCTGTACGATTTGGGCGTTTTTATGCTTCACATTTTCGTTATAAAATTGTCCTTCGTCCTAACCTTTTTAATTAGACTGTGCAGCACTTAGCTGGGTATTGGACCAGACCAACTTTTTTAAGTAACTGAGTTATAATTAAAAAGTAATTTCTCCGTTTTTCGAAGTTAGCCTCCAAAATCGGGATACGGGTATTCGAAGTTCGAAATCGGAGCTTTGGTAAAAAATGTTTTTAATTATTATATGTAAAAAACTAAAAAGTAAAAATATGGGCGTGGTCCGCCTTTTGCTCCTACCGTTGTATATAACTTTTTTTTTGTGCAAACGTATATCACAGGTGCTATAAGGGGTCAAGAGTCAGATCTTCGAAAATTCAAAACAATTATATTTCAAAAAATTTTGAACTGATTGTTAAGTGTTATAAGAGGACTGAACTAGTGTTATTAATCAATTCGTAATGTACGTATCTATTTTTTAGGTTTTCTGTTTACGAGTTTTAAGCTCAGAATTTTGGAAAATCGTTTTGAAATAAATAACTTGAAACTAGCCCTTTTCTTAGCTCTAAAATTTTGTATTAGCCCTTTCTAGCCCTTTTTTCTGGAGATTCTAAATAGATATTTACTTCCGCCAACACTGATCAAAATATATGTACGTTTGTACACATTAAAATCATGCTTCCATACATATGTGTGAGTTTAAGCGATACAAAAAATGTTGCTAGTAACATCACCCACCATACATACAGATGTTGCTAAGCACATTACGCTGACTAGCCATTTACATATGTACATTCATACATATGTGCATAGAAAAGAAAAATTGAATTTTCATACTAATTCCTTTTCTCGCATTTCGCTAATGATTTTTGCTATATCAATCTCCTCCACATTTTGTACAATATTAGCTGCATATCAGTTGTCGCTCATACATACATATATACATAAACGACAGGTAGTCAGCCAAAGTAGGCCAAAAGCGACGCGTGTGGGCACGTTTTTGCGTCGATGAGTGCTCCTGCCATTTCAAGTCTACGTGTCTTTTATACCACTATTGCGCTTTTGTTAGCAATTTTCGCTAATGAATGCCACTACCA